GATATGTTTTAAACTCGAGACTCCTCTGATACCCTTCATAGGAAACAGTAACTCATTGTAAAGAGAATTCTGTCGAAACATCGAGACAAATTTGAAAAGACTGTGGTTTACACAGTATGAGGAGGGGGGGAAATGATTACCTTTGTCTAAAAGTTGTATGTGTCTTGTTTTAAATTATGTAATAGATCAACTAAACTGTAAGGATGTGAATATGGCACTTCCATTAACTACAATAGATGTATCCAAAAATATGGAATTATCTATTGAGAGCTGTCATTTCTATGACTTACTGTGTGGAATAAATTGAGTGGGGTTTTTTTTAGTATATTTTGGACCTATTTATGCTATTTTGTAGTTAGGAAAAGATCCAGCGATAACACTTGTTTCTTTTAGAAAAGTTTTCAGTTTGTTTTGATTTTAAAGAAATAAGAGGGTTAGCGTTCTAGAACACCTGAAAAATAAATAAATAAGAGGCTTTAAAAAACTTCAGACTGAAGTCCAGAGTCTTTTAGGGCAGTTGCCAAGGACAAAAACACCACCTAAAGTCGCTGGAAGACAGACTTCATTCCATGATGCGGTCCTGTTGAAACATGCTTTCCTGTCATGCATCTCAGAAAGATACGGAGTGAGGCCCTGAGTGGCTGTTTATCATGAGGAAGGCCAGGTATTCACACCCTTTCTCCCAGGACTGTGGGCTGTAACATAAAAGGTAACTTAAAGAGCCTTCATTGGCAGTATCTCCACATTGTGTCCCTGAGATTACTGTGAAATATCTGAGCCTTGTGTAAAACAGATTAATTTAGACTAAAGTCTCGAGGAGCTAATTTAAAAGTGTGTCTCATGATACTGTACGCCGAGATAGAACCGATAATAAATGTAAGCAGAGAATCCTTTGAAATGTCTTTGGCCGGAGTACTGCTTGCAATTCTGAAGGAAAGGTGGTTTTTTGCATACCTTGTGTCCTGATGACTTATCCATTCGTATCATCCTCAAAAATTGGGACCATGTCTTGTGACCAGAGTTCCTGACACAGTTAAGTGCGTGTTTCTTTTGAGATTAGGGATTCCGATGAGTGATGGTTAAGGTTGAGGGGAAGAGGGTCCCCCAATCATACTTAGTCCAGGTCCATTATGTTCACCAACTCAACTTACCTCACAATTAAATTACTGAAGGTAATGAGATTTTTGGCAAGATATTTTTAAAAATCGTTAATTCAAAGCTCACTAGTTCAAAACTCTTCTTGTGGCTAGATATTAAACTGGTAGGTTTAAAAGAAAACCCTGTTTGCTAACAAAAATAATCTGAAGAATTGTAATTCTTGTGTAGAACTAACTTTTCCTATATTTTTAGGCATCACTTACATGGAATCAATTTCTAGTGCAATCATGTGGACTCACACTGCTTAACCTGTGCTTAGATGGGATGTTAAGTCATTTTCATCTAAGTTCCCCTTTGAACAAAGGAAAATTAGACTCTTAGAACAGGTTCCAAAATAACACAACTAAAAACAAATGATGATGATGGTATATCGCAGGGTGGAAAACCATGCAGCCGTTCAAAGTCATATTGTATAAAAAAAACTTTTTTGTAGAAGTTTTGTGGTAGTGGCAAAATATTTACAATGAATTATTACATTTTTTTTTAAAAGAACCACAAAATAATATATATAGAATAATAACCATTTTTATTTATAAACATATTTAATATACTATGGCACAAGTGTATAATACTTATATAAATTCTATTATGATTATAGTACTTACATAAATTACAATAATATTGTATAACCATGTATTCTTTTTATACCTACATGTGATTTTTAAAACACAGACAAGAAATACACAAAAATTATTTAAGAGTGAAGATTTCTCTGTTCTCTAAAGGGTAGGATTTTGAGTGATTTTTGTCCTTCCTATAGAATTTTTTTAAATTTTATAATTTACTGCATTAAGCATACACCAATTTTATAATTTAAAAGGAAACATAGTATGTGCTATATAAATAAAGGCACAAATAAAAGCAGTGCACGTTTATTTACTCTGTAATTCAGGCTTTCTGTAAAGTTAGATGGGTCTTATGGTTAATCAATTAGTTCAGATTTTTAAATTTTTGTTTTGCGAATTTGTTGCTTATGGTTCGGACAGTGAAATCTGAGCCAAGCAGATTTATTCTTGGTGCCATTTTAAATGGTTGGTACTTGGTGTATAAGAAGCTAAAAATGATGAGCCAGCATAACATTACTTTTGGTTAGTCATGCTATTTAAAATTTAGTGCTTACAAGTGTGTGCATATGTTTCCAATAAAGACTTATTTGCCACAGCGGAAGAGTGCTTTTGTGCTTCATTTTCACACTCATGTTTATTCATCATTGTTTGGCCTGTAGTGGTTCCTCAGTCTCTAAGGACAGACTCTAGGTGGACAGTACCGTCTTCTCCAGAGTCTTCACCTTTGGAGGTTCAGAAGATAGTAAGTCCCCCCTTATCCACAGCGGATGCCTGAAACCACAATAGTACCAAACCCTATGTAGACTATGTTTTTTCCTATACTTACATACCTGTGATAAAGTTTAAACTATAAATTAGGCACTGTAAAAGATTAACAATAAGTAGTAAAGTAGAACAGTTATAACATTATACTGTAGTAAACGTTATGAGAATGTGCTCACTCCCTCTTCCCCTTCTCCTTCCCCTACTACTCCCAACCCGTATCTATCTCTCTCCCTCTCTCCCTCTCCCTCTCCCTGTCTTTCTCTCTCTCCCTCGCCTTCTCCCTCTCCCTTTCTCCCTCTCTCCTTCTTTCCCTCTCTCCCTCTCTCCTTCTCTCCTTCTCTCTCTCTCTCTGTCAAAATATCTGTTAACCAGTCTAATGACTGAGAGGGCTGTCAAGTGACTAACAACCGGGTAGTGTATTCATCGTGGGCACACTGGGCAAAGGGATGACCCCTGTTCCAGGTGGCACAGAGTGGGACAGCACAGATTGTATCACACGACTCAGAAGAGCATTTAGAACGTCCGAATTGTTTATTTATAGACTTTCCCGTTTAATTTTTTGGGGGGTCTGGAACCTTTATTTTTAAATTTTTTTATCGTTTAAAGTATTACAAATAGAAGTACATGTGTCTCCTTTTTTCCCCATTGATAATTATTTTAGGGCCCAGTTAACTGTGGGTCATTGAAACAGTGGAGAGTGAAACTGCGGGTAAGCGCGTGGAGGTGCATCTCAGGGAGATCCCCGTTCACCGGTGTCCTTGCACACCCACCCTTAGCCCTCTGTGCTGTGCACTGAGCTCGTAGCACTGACCGCGTTTTCCTGTGGTTGTTCGTGACTTCATCTCCCCCAGGACACAAGACATTTCAATAATTATTATAGGTAAATGGTATACCATCTGCCAGAAACTTCATAGCACCTTTGCATACATTACTTCATTTAAACCTCAAAATAGTGTGAAAAGGAAGCACTGTTTTCTCCATGATGTAAATGGAAAAGCTAAGGCTTCCATTTTGAACACGCTGGGCTGTGCAAACAGAACCCCCGTCTCTAAAGGAAGAACTCGGTACCTTAAACCAGTAACCACATACGCTGTTCTCCGAGAGGGGCTCAGTGGCGCAGCCGCTGACGAAGCGTGTGTCCTCACACCGGTCACCCCACGGCCGTAAACCCCATGATGCTGCCTGATCCTTTTCCTAACCTTATGAACAAGGTAAAGTCTGTCCTCCCTTGGATGCACCATTCTCACGGTAGTTTGAGAGGCAGATCAATCTTATTAACCCCAGATTTCAGAGTATCATATCATGGCCAAATTTTTAATTCCTACTCCCAGACCCTGTTCCTGAGTTTAAGTGTTGTGTCTAATTTCATCAGTTCTAAAATTAGAAAGAGATGTGATTTTATTGGTTTATTTTCTGAATGCACCCCGTGCTTTATGCTGGTGAATAAGCATGGCAGTAATAGCTACCATCTATTGAATGCTTGCTATGATGCTTAGTGCTTTACAAACAATGATCCTACAAAATAGGTTTTGGTACTTTGCCATTTTACAGATAGGAAAACTGAGGCTCAGCGAGGTTAAACGGCTTGCTGGTTTTACCTACTACTCCTTCCATCATAGATCTGATAAAGGAGTGCATTAGGAATTTGTATTCCCTTTCTCTGGACTTTTTGAATCAAAACTCTGTCTTGCTAGTGGTGTGACTTTGGGCTAATTACATACATCTACTGTGTATCACTTTCTTGACTTGTGAAATGGGGTGATGATATTATTTATCTTCATGTGATGGTATGGATTGACTGAGCTGCTAAATAGAAGGTACTTAGAACAGTGCTTGACACAGTGTTGGCTTAATAAGTGGTGCTATAAAAATAACAATTACTATTATGATTATTATTCACTGGATTTTGACTATGGAGATCAAATACTAAACCATATAGAAGTACACGAAGTAAAAAATATCCCCCTCTCTCCACCACCTCCCAATTCCTCTCCTGGCATTAACCACTGACACCAGTATGGTATGTGTTCTTCCAGAATATTTCCTATGCCATCTGAAAGTTGTTTTGTTTTTTTAATACATCTTATTGATTTTTCACAGAGAGGAAAGTAGAGGGACAGGGAGTTAGAAACATCGATGAGAGAGAAACATCAATCAGCTGCCTCCTGCACACCCCCTACTGGGGATGTGCCTGCAACCAAGGTACATGCCCTTGACCGGAATTGAACCTGGAACCCTTCAGTCCGCAGGCCGATGCTCTGTCCTCTGAGCCAAACCAGTTTCGGCCTGAAACTGTGTTTAAAATTGTCCTTTCATTCGTAAAGTACAGCTCCGGAGTAAACATGTTTGAGAGTGGGAGATAGGGAGGTAGGAAGGGAGACGGGTTCATTGGTTCAGCAAATGTTTCTCAGCTGCTCTCTGTGTGCCGAGGCCTCCCCTGGGCGCCGAGGGCTTGGCATGTTGCGCTTCTGTTCTCACTGTGTACGGATTTTCTCTCTCGGTCTTACTTAGGACATGATGTATCAGCTTCTCCGAGGCCTGGACTTCCTTCATTCCCACCGCGTGGTGCATCGCGATCTAAAGCCACAGAACATCCTGGTGACCAGCAGTGGACAGATAAAGCTGGCTGACTTCGGCCTGGCCCGCATCTACAGCTTTCAGATGGCCCTGACCTCCGTGGTGAGTGAAAAAACGCTGTTCTCTCACGAAGCTCGTTTTTCCTCTTCCGAGCGGTAAACGTCCCCTGCCCCTGATGTTGTGATTGCCGGTGGTCAGCGGGTGGCAGTGGAGGGGGAGGAGAGCGCTCTGCTCCCCGCTACGGACACATCCGGGCCGGGCTTGCTGTGGACGGGACCCGATGCAGAAATAGCTTGTTGCATCTTAGTCACTGGAGAGGAATCCGTTACAGATTCCCAAACGCTGCCTGCCGTAACCCTCTTTTCAGAGCTGCGTGTGTAGATAACGTCAGGGGAAGCACAGCCCAAGGTCTCGGGGTGGGGGGGGAAAGTGGGGGAGAGCACCAGGCACCTCGCCCTGAGTGCCGCATCCTGGTGGAGGAGCAGCCAGGGGGCCTGCACAGGTGTGTGACAGCACTCCTGTGAAGCTCTGCTGTCAACTGGGCGAAAAAAAAAAAAAAAAAATTAAATGTGCGTTGAACTTGGATGGCCCATCAGCAAGTAGCACCACCCTGCCCGGCAGAGGCTCGCCCAGGCCCAAAGAGAAAGGCTCTGTTTTGGCAAAGAGTCACAGTTATGATATCCTGTTCTATGTCCCATTCAGGCCCCAAAAAAACAAAACAGCTATTGACTTTGGTGTAGCTCCTATTTCTCCTTCTAGTTCATTGTTTCTGAGATGAATTTTTATGAACTTCTGCATCCCAAAGATAAAAATGAGGCTCTGATAACCCTTCTCTTTGAAACGCCTGCTTTACCGACAGTGAATTCATGCACAGGTTTAAAAAAAAAAAAAAAAAAAAAAAAAAAAAAAAAAAAAAAAAAAAAAAAAAAAAAAAAGGCAAGACATTCCCCTTTGCTGTGCTACGGATCTGAGGCAGAGGGTGGATGTGGAGAATTCCTTTGATTCTATGATGACTATAGAAACGGCCCTCAAAGCATTAGATTAAGCCTTACGACAGAGAATCCTCTTGGGTAAATATGTCGTTTTTCACCTATAATCCAGCTTTCTCGTGTTTTATTTTCACTGATTTCTGCCTTTCCATGACTCAAGTACAGTTGACAAAGAGTGCAGTGTGGTGATGAGGCATTTCTATAACTTATGAAGTTACCCCTCCCTCCATACGTCTAGTACCCACTCCACACCAAACACATGGGGGGGGGGGGGGGGGAGGGATTAACACATACAAGTTGCTGGTTGTGAAGGTGTCTCGGGGTGTCACGGACAGCACAGGGAACATACGGCGGCCTTTGTGTTTAGCATCTCCAGCCTCGGAGTGGGTCTCCATCGGGGGCGGCCCAGTCCCGGGAGTGGCGCGTCATTGAGGAACCTATAACCGTGCCTCACGACCACGGTGACTTGGGGGATGGACGCGGCTACGAGGAGGCTGATCCTCTGCACAACAAAAAAATTGTTTCCCCACATCTCATGAATGCCTCCGCTGCGACGTATTATAGAACATTGGTAGGGGAGTCAGAAATTCTCTGAGAGGGATAACTTGCCTTCGGAAGACGTTCCGTTTACAAAAGTGTTCTGCTTTTCCCCACCCTGAAATTGGGGTAACCACCACCTGCACCAGTGAGGTAACATACTTTTCCCAACATGCCATCCTTTAGCAAACATGTCAAACTCACGTTTAGATGTGGCCCACCAGCAGAGAGTTGGACATGCTTTACCCACAGCACCCAGAGTTTGAGGGGGGTTCCTTGGAAATGTGTCCCCATTATTATTGAAAGGCACACGGTACTTGCTTCCTCTCTGCCCAGCATGCACCATCGTTTCTGAGGAGACAAGGCACAGGATGGTGTTTGAAGGATACGCCTCAGTTTTGGGCTGGGTCAGGCAAGCCCTGTATTCTTATATAATCACACCAGAAAGGGCCGAGGCTGTGTGTTTCCCAGTGGGAAGGGTGAGGTAGGCTGCAGGCTTCCCCAGGAAGTACTTGCGCATGTTGTAGCAGGGCCCTGGGGAGAAGCTTGAATAGGCTTGACAGTCATCCCAGGAGCAGATGGGAGGAGCTGGTCCCCTGGAGGACATTAATTGAGGGAAGAATGAGCCATCACTGAGACACTTTGATTCCCCGAAGTGGGTACTAAAACCCACAAATAAAAACAGGAAACTCAATTGGTTTTGTGTTTGTTTGTTTTTTTCTTATTAAATTTAAGGAATGGTAGCCTGGCTTGTGCATAACATCAATTAACATTCCATGCTTGCCTGAAAGTTGATAGGTCCAAGCAGGAAAAGGCAGACAAATTATTTCATGGAGAAAAGTGGCAAGGCAATCATAAATAAGCTGATTTTTCTGGTTTGTGCTGCTTACTCTGTATAAAGTTAAAAAAAAAAAATAGACACTGGCAAAGACACTGGAATAAACACAGATTTTCCTTGAAAGTGATGCTTGGAATTTAATGGAAATAATAAAAGGTATGATTCCTGTAGGGTGCTGCATTTCAAATTTTCCCCATTGGTTTTTTTGGGTTGTTTTTTTTTTTTTTAAGGGGGGAAAAATCCATTTAGCATAGTGATATATTGGTTCACATACACATGGTGACATATAAAGACTTGGAATCGCAATTTTCCAGACCAAACTGGTATTTATTTTTCCACTTCCTGAAAATACACATTTTTTCGTGGGTTATGTCATACAGGAACTGGGAATGGACTTAATCTGTGGAATGTTAAAGGCATTGCAAGTTAACTGATTCGAAACTGACGTTGTACTGCATGAGGAACACTGATGTATTACCTTCGGAAGCCTGACTGGACGTTCCCCTCCGGTGCCTCCTGCAGAACTTAATCCCTCCTTTCTCCCTCGGTGATGCCAGAGGGACGTCTTATTAATGTCTTTCTTGATACTGCTTTCTGTCTTGTTTGACATTATTTGGGGTGGGCGGGTTAGTTATCAGGCTTTACACTCTTGAAGGAGTTAGCCTTTGGGTAGCTACTCATTTAGGGCAATCACTAAGTCTGCACTGTAGGTGTTGCTGTGAGTGTATAATAACATACGTGCACATGATTTAACCTGCCTCCACCTGGTAAAGGAGGGTAAGTGCCTGTGGACACCTAACTGTCCTGGGCTGCCTCCAGCATGGCCCTCAGGAGTGGGTAGGGAGTCTGGGTCATTACTGCTCATATATAATCAGGCATGCACCCCTACACAGTGCTGTGTATACCTATTGCTTAAAAGGTTGTAGAATTACGCCGAAGGCAGTTTGGCTCAGTGGTAGAGCGTCGGTCTGCGGACTGAAAGGTCCCAGGTTCGATTCTGGTCAAGGGCATGTACCTTGGTTGCGGGCACATCCCCGGTAGGGGGTGTGCAAGAGGCAGCTGGTCGATGTTTCTCTCTCATCGACATTTCTAGCTTTCTATCTCTCTCCCTCTCTGTTAAAAATCAATAAAATATATATTTTTTTAAAAAAAAAAAGGTTGTAGAATTAAGATGTAGGTCGCCACCATGAATACCTTAGACATGACAGGAGGGCCCCCAGGCCTGGGTCTCCTGCTTCAGAGGAGCCTGCCCTGGCCCTGCTTCAGCCATGCCTCCTTTAATGGGGCAGGAAGCCCAGGATACCAAAGAGATATACCGCCTGGAGCCAGAGACACACCCTGCCACACTCAGAGCATTGGAATTCCCTGGCTGAACGGGAATTGCATGAGCAATCCTCAGGTTCTTCCTCCTAACAGCACACTGTCCTCGTGTGCTCACCTCAGCTGTTCGCAGGCGAAGGGGCAGAGTGTGCACGTGTCTGTGAGCATCGGAGGCCCCTGTTGAGACAAGGAGCGAGGGATGTGAAGAGACGTGGGGACCATCTCACGTAGCACGGGTTCCTTCTTTCAGAAGAGCTGCTCTGAAACCATGAAAATCAATGTTTTGGCCTGATTGAAAGAGTACCTTTTTTGGAAAACCAAGGACAGGTCACGGGGAGGGCCTTCCCACTGCACAGGAGCGATACGTGGAAGTCACGACTGGTGCAGTTCTATGATCTCGGTGGCAGAAGTGGTTCATGAATATGTGCTTACCCAATAGAAGAACTATGAGACTACCTGAAGTTACTTGTAGAGACATTCTCATGTGAACATTTCTAAGTACTTCCCATGTCACACGTGGTGTATGGTGCAGCTTATTTTTTATCTGTGTAGACAAAAGGGAAATAGAGACCAACTACGCAGCCAGAAGTGTTAGCCATACCTGGCGGGAGGGTCCTAGAGCACAGCCTGGTCGTCGACAGCCACCCCACGATGACTGCTAGTGATGCAAGTTCTTTATCACTTTTCCCTCAAACTGCATCGTAGCAGGCAGCGCCATACTGGTGTCACTGGGTTTGGTGTTTTGGGAAACTCCTTAAGAACCACCTCACTGTGCAAGTGAGACGCCCACAGGCATTCTGTGACCAGGTTAAGTCTGAATTCACCGATTGTAAATGGAGAACCCACCACCGTGCCCACTTCTTCCCTCTTCTCGCCGCCGTAGGCTCCAATTCTTCCCAGCCTATCCAGCTATGTTCCGTGGAACTCTCTGGTTCTACAGAGGGTGTCCGGCAGTTCCACAAATGCCCAACAGTCCATCTTTAAAAATAAATCGCAAGTCTTGCTGAAATTATAAGTTAAAAAAAAACAACAACTAGTCCATGCGGCATTTTGACACGGTGGTGAACCACCGAGGCATGAATGTGTGCCTCTTGTTGGCCGATGGTTTATGTAGACTTCGGAGTGAGATTTCTTCGGCCATCCTTGCACACAGTTGAATGTCTAATCGATGTATCCTTGCTTAGGAGAAATCGAGCATTCCATATTTTTTCCATTGATTTTTTTTTATTTTATTTTATTTAGAGTGGAAGGGAAGGGGAGAGAGACTCACATTGATTGGTTGCCTTCTGTACGGGGCTGGGGATTGAGCCTGCAACCCTTCCTGTGCTCCAGCCACTGAGCAACACAGGCCAGGGCTCAGAAGCCTTTTGATGAACCTAAGGGAGGAAATGAATGAAATGGAGCTGTGCCATTCAGTC